AGCAGGGCCACCACCGTCCCCGATGGAGAGTCCTCTGGCACCGCCCTCAGCAGTGACCGCACCGCGATCTCCGGCGCGTTGTCGTTCACGTCAGTCAGCGTGATGGTGATTTTCGCCGTGTTCGAAAGGCCCCCACCGTCCTTCGCTTGCACCTCTAGTTCATGTGATGAAATCTCTTCGAAGTCCAATTCATGAACGAGAGATATTTCTCCTGTATTAGAGTCCAGATGGAAAATCTCGAATGCCAGTTCGGAGATTTTCTGAAATATATATTTTACCTGTCCGTTCATTCCGTCGTCGGCATCGGTGGCACTGACGGTGAGCAGGGTGGAGCCCACGGGCACGTCCTCCCGCACGCGCACCGTGTACACTGCCTGGCTGAACACCGGCGCGTTGTCGTTCGCATCCAGCACAACCACACGGATCCGCGCCGTGCCCGTCCGCGCTGGATCCCCACCGTCCACCGCCGTCAGCACCAGCTCATGAAAAGCGTCTTCCTCGCGGTCCAGTAGCTTCGCAAGCACCAACACTGGACGTTTCTCCCCGTCGGGTGATGTCTGCATGGTCAGGGAGAAGTGTTCGTCGCCGCTCAACTCGTAACGCTGTAGGGAATTGTTTCCGCTATCCGGGTCCTGAGCGCTGCGCAACGGAAAGCGTGTCCCCGGGGCTGTTGTCTCGCTCATTATTTCCTCCAACTGAACTTCCTTGAAAGCGGGTGTGTTGTCGTTAATATCTTTGATTTCCACTTCGATTGCATAAACCTTCATTTCATCTTCGATTAACACCTCACAGCTCAGCATGCATTTCTCCATCAAACGGCAGACCTGCTCCCTGTCTATGCGTTCCGCCGTCACTAAATGGCCGGTCTTCTCATGCAGAGAAAAAAACTGTCTCCTACCTTCGGAAAGGACGCGGGCGCCGCGGTCGCGGAGCGCCGACAGTTCCAGTCCCAGGTCCTTGGCCACGTCGCCCACGAAGGAGCCCTTCTGCATCTCCTCGGGCACCGAGTAGCACAGCTGACCCCACGACACCTCCCACGCTGGCACCAAGACGCACCACAGCAGC